CCTCGGGGCTCCTGGCGTCCGAGTCCATGATGCCCGGTGCGGTTACGGTCCGTCTGTCTCCTTGCAGGTCCGTCCTCGCAACTTCCCCTGCAGCATCTCTTGGATAGCTACCGGTGCGGCCGGGAAGATGACCACCTTTCTTACGGGGAAACGGGAATGCCGGTCCCGCCCTTCGGCTGTGCCTTTTCTGCAGGTAAAGTCACCGGCCGAAAGCCCCTTTTAGGGGCCAGGGTGTGGGCACCGCTCTCGGCTTTTTTTTTTTAATATGTCTCATGATTTGGTTTCAGTGTCCCTTGTTACAAGGTGAGCTGGTAATAGTGTACTTGCACCTAGATGTGATATGAAGTGGGGGGTGGTGCTCCTAGACATACTGGGGGAAACTATTCCCTTAAACAAGCAACTACAAAGCCTTTATTTTAGAGTCTCTTTGCTTCAGCTTTGCCTGTTTCAAGGTATGTCCTCTTGGTGACAGTACTAGGCTACATAGTTGAAAAATTGGGCTTTGTTCAAATTATATAAAAGATAGAACAGGATGGAGAATAGTATGTAGAAATCAAAGAGGTCCGTGTATGTCACTAGACATGTAGCCTTTCCCGGTGATAAATACATGATGAGTGAAGAAAGTGTGGAAGTTCCTGTGTCTTTAGGACAAAACTCTCTCATCTGTAGCACTCTGGGTTTGGTGTGAGTGTACACCTCACTTCAAGGCAGCATCCTGCTTTCCCAACTCAGATCCATAGACAGTCCTGGAGGCTGTAGTGGACAGGTAATATAGATACAGAAAACTGCAATTAGAGAACTAATTTCACAGCTGGTGAAAGAGCCCATTGTCTCAGAAGTTTCTCCCGGAGCCATTTGATTGCCCATATATAGTAGTTGCTGAATGGAACATCTAGGAAAAAATGCTTGCCAATATTTCTGCATTTTTAACATTAAATTGCTATGTAAATGCTGTTTATTTCACAGCTATCTATTTGCTGTATACCCTATTTAAAGTGTCTGTGGCCCTTCACAAAGTGCAGGGGCGTGATTATGAATGAGCTAGATAAATAATGCACAAATACATTTCAATTTCTTTTCAGCCCCGAATTTGGAGCATGTACTGGCAGTTGCAAATGAAGAAGGATTTGTTAGACTGTATGATACTGAAGCTCAAACTACCAGCAAACTCATCTTTAAGGGTAAATATTATACGGAATGTGATCTTCATTTGATGTGACAAGTATGTGATTTACTGGTATCAAAGAAAGCTTTTTACAAGTCCCCTAAGCATAAATGTGGGCAGTACTTCAATCCTTTCATATAAGTTGTCTTATCCTTTCATATAAGTCTTTTTTACAAAGCAGCAGTGAGGCTGCTCCTGCAACAGCTGTAGTAGGTGAATTGTTCTGTGTTGCCTAAGGCAAGTGGGTGACAAGTTTTCCGATTTCATTGTCTGATGCTGCAATGCACTGAACTAATCTTGGCTTTTGTTTTCTTGCTAGAATGGCAGGCTCACTCAAATGCTGTATTTGACCTTGCCTGGGTACCAGGGGAACACAGGATTGTAAGCAATGTTTTGCCATCTAATTTTATTTCTAATGTTTTAGCAACTGTGTGCAGAAAACGACTAAAGCTTTTTATTTTTTCCTCTGAAGGTCACTGCTTCAGGAGATCAGACAGCCAAGGTGTGGGATGTGAGAGCCGGAGAGCTTCTTGGCATATGCAAAGGTCACCAATGTAGCCTCAAGTCAGTTGCTTTTTCTAGATTTGAGAAAGGTAAATGTTGATGTTCCTTGTTTTCTGTTTTTTTCTTCTTCTTCCTCCCTGGCACACTGGTACTTTTGGAGGTGAAGAACTGAGCCACAACCCAGCCAGTGAAGCAGAACTAACTTGTTGGAACTTCATAGTGACCTGATGCTACCATCTGCACGTTTGATCTTGGACACGTTTAAGATACAACACCTACTTCCATACATAATTGTGTAAATACTCTTCTCATAAGCAGGTTTTTCTACAGAGGTAGTAAAAAAAAGAAGACTAGGAAGAGTAAGGAAACTAGTCAAAAAGCATAGCAGAATAATGCCCTTTTTTTGTGTTTCTAGGACTGGCATCCAAGTGTTGGGGCAGAAGAGCCAGAGGCACATAGATGGCATTGTAGTGCATTCAGTTAATTAAATTAACACTTTTGGAAGCTAATAGCTTTCTTTTTCTCTCTCAGCTGTCTTCTGTACTGGAGGAAGAGATGGAAACATCATGGTTTGGGATACCAGATGCAACAAGAAAGGTAATAGAACTTTCAGATATGTATCATAAAAGCTCAGTATCTTGTGTAAAAATAGTACTCGGATGTACTTGTTCTACTAACGCTTTCAATTACAATATGGGCAATGCTTTAGTAAGAGCATTGGAGGATTGTCAGATACAGCAGTGTACTGTTTTAGTACACTAAAAGGATGGAATAGGTATTTCTTCTACGTAGAATACATTTTTCCTCTTTGTAACAGTCTCAGAGTTGCAGCATAATATACGTGCTGGCCTGATAACACCCCGTGTATTGGTAAGGAAATAAGGGGGTACAAAATATACCCCTGTGTGTGCACAGAGATAGATGGGCTGGGTCAGAGCGCTGAGGTCAGAGCCATCTGAAGGGATGAAGCAAAGCTGGGAAGGCTCCTGCCAGAGTAGGAAAGAAGGCAGAAAGCGCAGGAGCAAAGGACCTTGTGAGTGCCTGGAACAACTGAATATATTGTGGGAACACCTACTAAATGAGCTCATTCTGCTCTTCTCTTTTTATTTCCTAGAGCTTTTCCTTCCCTAGTCAGGTCATGCCCTTATGCATCTTCCCAGTTCCTTGCTCTGTCCCAGTGATTTCCTGGCCGGTGCTGCCAGAACACATCTCACTCTTTCATCTTTCCCAGGTTCCCTGGCTCTTCAAACTGGCAAGTAGGGGAAAAGGGAAGGTCCACAGGACTGAAGTGGAAGGTATAGGAATAAAAGTAGAAAACTTGCTTTGCTCTAGTAAAGCAGTGTGTCTCATAAAGTGAGAAATATCAGACAAAAGGCTAAATAGAAAAATATAATATAGACTGAAAAGCACTACAGACCTTCCTGTGAGTCGCCTTCTGCTTGGGATGAGATGGGTTGCATGCTCCAGCCCAGGATGCATGCTGAAGACCAGACCAAGGGATAATGTTTTCCAAAGGCAGCCTGCCTAGACCAGTTTTAGTTTCAATGTTCATGCTACACTGACCTCTGCAATTTTTTGCAATATATGCTCCCATTTTCTACTGTGTTCTTCTCATCAGTTTCGTATGTAACTAACAATTTTTTTTTTTTCTAGAATACATTAATAATTTTAAAGCTTAGTCTCAGACACATTTTAGAACTTATTCCAAGCTGATGCCTGTTTTATTAAAGTCATAGCAAAATTGCATAGGAACTATTAACTGAGATGTCTTTGATTTCTTTCAGATGGATTTTATAGGCAGGTGAATCAAATCAGTGGAGCACACAATGTAGTTGACAAGCAGACTCCTTCCAAACCAAAGAAGAAGAGGCAGAACCTAAGAGGACTTGCCCCCTTGGTGGTAGGTATCTGGGGAACAAACAAAATGTAGGCCTCTCTTCTGAGGACAATGTTATTCATAGAAGTCTTCCTAAATAATAATCATGAGAAATATTTGCCTTGAATGTGGTAAATGCTTCCATTTGTCTTTGCAGAGGCAGGCTTTTGTGTCACAGTCACTTGCTATGGCTAATTTTAGACATCGTTTAGTTGTCTAACAACTCACCTACTATCAAAGCCATCTTTGTGTAAATGCCATGTGAAAATACATCTTTTTTTTCCAGGGAGGAGAGGAGTGGCCAGCATTCCTTTATTGAGGGGTGAGATAGGGAAGGTTGTTGCTTTTTTTTTTTTTCTTTCTTTCTTTTTTCCCCACCAATTTGACCACACAATTCAGTGCCTTACTGGACTAAGGCCTGGTCTTATTTAATCTATTAAACCTTGTGATGAAGGCAGCCCTCTTACCTCTGGTCTGAAAGGTATAATCTCAAACTAATGCCCAAACACTTACTGCTCAGTGGCAGTTTCCCTAGTGGGAGTGTTGGAAGGATTGTTGTGTCCTAAATGGCATCTGGTATTTCCAGGTTCTCCTGCCTGGCTAGGAAGAGATTTTATTGGTATTCACTTGGCCATGAAATAAGTGGCAAGATCTTGCTGACCTTGAAAGAAAATAAAGTTCTTTTTTTCTCTTTTCTTTTTAAGGATTTCCAGCAGAGTGTAACTGTGGTGCTGCTTCAGGATGAGCATACTATTATCTCTGCAGGAGCTGTTGATGGGTAAGCAGGGAGAATGCCTGCTTTGCTGTCTATTCTGTGTGTTCTTCTTTGTGGCACAAAAAGATTAGATTTTTTTTCTTCTAAGATCACTCAGTGGCCCACAAGGCTAGAGTTACTATTAGGTAGAATCAGCAGAGCTACACTGGCAGCTTGCACTGGCAAAGCTGAATGCCACTTTTCTTCCATACTGAAAATTGCAGCGTTGGGACAAATTGTGCATATGTGGTAAATGCTCATTTTAGTGTCTTAGCTATGGGGCAGAATGAGAGCAGTTCTTATCATCTCTCTTCTCATGGACCTATGGGACCTCACATAAACAAACTATTGTTAGACAGTGAGCTGTTTTGGGATGCAAGTGCGTGGTTGGTGCCTGGGTACGTGTAGGCGTGCTTGAGAAAATGTTGCCTTGAGTTACAAAAGATGCATTCTTTGGGGTGCCAGATCCGTTGAGGCATCTTGGAGCTCAAGCAAACTGTCTCATTGATTAGCATGGAGATTACCCTCTCAGGACTCCTTTCTTTAGCAGGCTCTATGTGGTCAGAGCCTTTCTGAGGCAGATAAGATTAGCTCTCCTGCCTATGGGTCATGAGAGAAGCTTGCTCCTGGAGAGCAAGAAAAAACTTGAAGGACTTAATTTTTTAAGCTACATGTCAGGAGTGTAAATGCATTCTTGTATTTCGTTTTACTAGTTGATGGAAGCTGACTTGCAGGCTCCTGTGTTAGTTACAGAAGACAACGCTGCTTCCTCGTCCATACCCAACAGAGTAATTGTTTTGCTTTCAGCACGTCTCCACTCTGCTCTGCTCAGCTGTACTCCTTAGCACTGCACACCCCTCAGTAATGAGCAACCTGTCTTCCTGTGCTCTTAGAAGGCCCTATCAGCATTGCAAAAGAAATTTTGAAGACACTTGTGCTTTTCTATTTCAGCGTGATCAAAGTATGGGACTTGCGCAAGAACTACGCCACTTACCGTCAGGACCCTGTGCCTTTCAGGTCTTTGTGCTACCCTGGGACCAGTACTCGCAAGCTCGGTAACTTATTGGAAGATGTATTTGTTAAAGTGCAAAGTGAATTTAAGAAGTATTGAC